ATACCAGATGGCCCGAAGGAATGGAAGGCATGCGAGTCGGGTGCCCAACGGGCACTATAAACGCATGATGGTGCGCGTCGGAAGAATCGGCAATGGGCGTACGCAGGAGCATAGTAGGCGAGCAGGCCACGGGGACGGCTGGGATGCGCGGTGCAGCAGGTGCACGGGGATGCGCGATAGAGAATTGGAGCGCGGGCGATAGCCGGGATGCGCGGGAATCACGCGGAGAAAGGATGGGGCGCGAAGGACGCGCAAGTGGGCAGCACGCGGGTGCGCAACACAACGCGCGAGGAGATCGGCGAGGGCAGGGCGTGCGCGATGGCGCGCGAGTGGGACGACGCGGACGATGTCCTAGGTGGGGCTGGATTAGGCGATGCACGCGAGGGGACGCACGCGCAGGGGGCTAGCAGCACGGATGGGGCGCGCGCGAGGGCTCGCGCGTGCAACACAGACGAGGCGCGCGATACCTCGCGCGCCAAGGATTAAGAAACCGAGGGGCGGCGCGCGCGCAAGGCGTGTGAGGCGGCGAAGGGTTTGGACGCAAGGAGCTTCTAGAATTACTTGGTGTGCAAGCCAAGCATTAGTTATTTGGTAGTATTAGGATTTTATTGCTTTCTAGTATTAGGATTTCTATTATTGCAAGATTTAGGAGATCTAGTATAGTTAGGCTTAGATTTATTTTGCACCTATAAATACCGCATGTACCTCATCATTATTTTAGAGATGTCTTGAATTAAGTATTGAATTGGTGAGCCAATTGAGAGGGGAACTTATGTTCTTATGTGTGTTTAAACAAGGCCGTTAGTGCGTGTTTACATACAATGTCGGAGAGAAGGCCATTAGAGCGTCTTGAAGTCACAGTGTCTAGGAGAAGGCCGATAGTGCGTCTGTTAGATACACCTATCGTGGATAAACGAAGGCCCTAGTGCGCGTTTATTCACAACCCATGTATAGATAACAACACGACCCGTCATCATTGTGCTTTCATTGAGAGGTGCTGATCGTATTTCTATCTATCTATCTTTTTCTTTTTTTTTTCGGTTTGCCTTTTGCTGAGGGACCGAATTTGTTTCTTGTTTGGGTTGAAATTTTCGAATTTATTTATTCGAATTTTTCAAATTTTTTCGTGTCTTAAAAAAAAAGTATCATCTTGTTTAGTCCTTTGTTTGATTTTTTCGGTTATTACCTTTTGTTGAGGGGCCGAATTTCTCTTTATTTTATTTTTATTTTGGGTTCGAATTTTTTTTGAGTTTTTAGAGTCAAAAAAAAAAAAGAATGTCTTACCCACCATTAGTTGAATTGGATTGGGAGGATCTCGAATGCCTCGAAAGTTTGGAGAGGGAATTAACCCCTTGGGAGCAAGAATATTTGGAGGAGATGTACGAGCAAAAGGAGGAGTATGAAAGACAACTCAAGATCATGGAGGAAGAGCAACAAGAGGAGGCCGAAGAGAAGCTCCGAGAATCAAGCGAACGCGAGGCCAAGCGTAAGGAGGAGAAAGTTGCGATCAACGACTTAGGCCCACCTATGCCTGACGATCAAACCGATGATACACACATAGACGTCGAAGAAACAGAGGTAGTCGAGGTAATTGGTGGCGCAATCAAGCGCGCGGATGTTGTCGATGGTGAGGTCTCGGCCGAGTTCAAAGAAGCCAAGACCGAAGGAGACAAAGAGATGGGGGAGGTTCGAGAAGGGGATGAAGAGGGCGTACATGAGGAAGTTACGTTCATAGTCCTAGATGTCGAAGAAGATGTTCCCGATGTTTGGATGGTCGAGGATGAATCCTTGAGGACAAGGAAAGTCTCGAAGAGGAGGGGAATGATACGGAAGTGGGTTTCGAACCCCTGCGACAAGAAGGGCCGAGAGCCAAGAGGACTCGAGGAGGCTGAAAATAGGGCCAAAACGATGCAAGCATGGCTTAAAAGACGGGTACGAGCGCGTATGCGGATGGGCTTGGATCGAAGAGTGCAGGGACGTGATGCACGAGCGCACGAAGCGGTTAATGAGGGTCGTGCATGGAAATGCGCAAGGACACGCAAGAAGATGGTCTCGAGGCTAGCAACACTCACACGCAAGAAAGAGTGCATTCAAGAAGGGCGCGAACACGCGCATTGGCGTAGACGAGCACGGATGAGGCCACGACTCAAAAGGACGTGCCGTCGATGGTTTCGGGATGCTTGTCGAAGATGTGAAACCTAGTGGGGGTGGCTAAAATACCTGATGGCCCGAAGGAATGGAAGGCATGCGAGTCGGGTGCCCAACGGGCACTATGAACGCACGATGGTGCGCGTCGAAAGAATCGGCAATGGGCGTACGCGGGAGCATAGTAGGCGAGCAGGCCACGGGGACGGCTGGGACGCGCGGTGCAGCAGGTGCACGGGGATGCGCGATAGGGGATTGGAGCGTGGGTGGTAGCCGGGACGCGCGGGAATCACGCGGAGAAAGGATAGGGCGCGAAGGACGCGCAAGTGGGCAGCACGCGCGCGCGCGACACAACGCGCGCGAGGAGATCGGCGAGGGCAGGGCATGCGCGATGGCGCGCGAGTGGGACGACGCGGACGATGTCCTAGTGGGGCAGGATTAGGCGATGCACGCGAGGGGACACACGCGCAGGTGGCTGGCAGCGCAGATGGGGCGCGCGCGAGGGCGCGCGCGTGCAACACGGACGAGGCACGCGATACCTCGCGCGCCAAGGATTAGGAAACCGAGGGGCGGCGCGCGCGCAAGGCGTGTGAGGCGGCGAAGGGTTTGGACGCAAGGAGCTTCTAGAATTACTTGGTGTGCAAGCCAAGCATTAATTATTTGGTAGTATTAGGATTTTATTGCTTTCTAGTATTAGGATTTCTATTATTCCAAGATTTAGGAGATCTAGTATAGTTAGTCTTAGATTTATTTTGTACCTATAAATACCCCATGTACCTCATCATTATTTTATAGATGTCTTGAATTGAGTATTGAATTGGTGAGCCAATTGAGAGGAGAACTTATGTTTTTACATGTGTTTAAACAAGGTCGTTAGTGTGTGTTTACATACAGTGTCGGAAAGAAGGCCATTAGAGCATCTTTAAGTCACAGTGTCTAGGAGAAGGCCGATAGTGCGTCTGTTAGATACACCTATCGTGGATAAACGAAGGCCCTAGTGCGCATTTATTCACAACCCACGTATAGATAACAACACGATCCGTCATCATGCGCGAAGGCGGCAGGAGCGTGTGCGCGCGACGCATGCAAGACGGGCGTGGCGTGCGCCGGGACTACGCGCGCAACGGACGAGGCCTTCTGCCTTGAGGCATGCGGAAAGGCGGGGCAGCACGCGCGGAAGAATGCCGTCAGGGTCGAAGGAGCGCGCGACACGCCTGAGGGAGAAGGACGCGCGAGGCACGAGGCCGCAGTCCTTGAGGAGTGCAGAGTGGCGGACGGCCACGCGCCTGAGGTCGGTGCGGTTGGCGATGGCGTGCGCAGCACACCGGGCGCCAATGCACGCGCAAAGGAGGGCGGTGCCCTAGTCCTCGAGGACTAGGGCCTGCGGGCGGCGCGCAAGGGCGGTTCGCATGTGGCCGAGAGAGAGAGAAAGATATCCCTTGGAGTGCAAGCCAATTTATTTAGTTTCCATCTAGCATTATGATATCTAGCTTAATTAG